CACAGCAGGGCCCCGCGCGACCCACCACCAGTCGCGCCGCCGGCCACACGGCCCCCACCCAGCGCCACCAGCACGCCAGGCGACGTCGCGCCGCGGCGCCCGGCACCCGCGCCGCGCCCCCAGCGAAGAGAAGGGCCCGCGCCACTCCTCTTTACGCGGGGGAACCAAAAGACCCCGCCGCCACCGGCCCGGGCGAGCTTTGCCCGGCCAGGCCCTCTGGCGGCGGTGGGGGAGGAGGAGGGAGGAGGGAGAACTCGGGGGCGGCCGCGCCGGAAGCCCTCCCCGCCGCCGCACGGGGGCGGCGCGGGGAGGAGAGGCTAGGTCGGGAGGGAGAGGCTCGTTGGAAATCTCTTATGAGCCCTTTGTTTCCCGCCTTTGCCGTTTGTTTGAGGCTGACGGCAAATTAACTGATTCATGTAGTGATGGTAGGATATTATTTCTTCTAAATGACATTTGTCCGACTTAACCACTTCAGTATGAACTTATTTCAAATTATGCCTCCGCTGATTTGCGCCCATACACCGGGGTACTTCAACTGCACGTGACAACACCTTCTTTTAAGGCAGAATTGACTTCGGTGAGTCCACGCTCGTCGAGCGTGTCACCAGAAAGTCATGGGCATACTCACCAAATTGCCACGGCTCCTTGAGGATCAAAGCCCTCCAAAATTCCTTTAGAAATTCTGCAGATCAAAGAGCCCCTATTTCCTAAGAGAAATTTGGATTTTTGCTGCTCTCTTCCTTGGGTTTCCCCGGTTTGCTACTCTCAACATTGCCTTTGCAAAATTTCCACTTAGATTGCTATGACATTAGCATCCATTTCTATTATATCTTCACATTAACTAGCTAGTGGAAGGAGCGAACTACCCTTGTGGCTACCTAACTGTATCATGTAGTTCGACCGGACACACTGCTGGTTCGACCAAGCCGCTCGCTTCGCCCGCGTATGTGGTCGCATCGTCGCTCCCGGCACTCGGCACCCAGCCGCTCCGTGCTCTCCTGCGACGAGGCAGGAGGGTGAGAGGATGCAGAGGAATCTGGAAAGAGAGATTGGCAGATCGGCCTGGGCATTTTACGCGTCACGTGGCCGGAATGCAGGTGGGTCGCACGAGCCTGCTGCCTCATGCTTCTCTAGCAAATATTTTTCCATCTCCAAATTAGTAGTACTTATTTGTCCAAGAAGCTTAATTTGCTGTTGTATTCCTAATTTCTTACTGCTCAATTGAACATGCAAACTGCACATTGGATTCCAACTGCTCAGCTGATCTCGAGGATGCAAATTGTGTAATGACCACCTTGTGTGCCCCTGTATAATTAAGCCTTGTTTCGGCCAACTGGTTAATTTAAATGGGATTCCGTCCTGTCATATGCAATTATGCATCTCAACTACCCGTGCTGGGTCCACCTTAAGTTCCTACTTGCAGTGATCAACCACTTTGTCAAACTACGCGGCTTTGACGAGCAACATCGCTGTTGATGCAGAGTTAATCATTTCGGCATTGCTCCCCTTTTACTCCACTATGGCTCTAAGTTTAAGAACCTGCTGGTTAAATATGCCCCTTTGGTTATCACATATGTGTTTCAAAAATAGTAGCTTGCAATATAATTGTTCATCACAAACTATTCCTTTTCATATACTGAATGGGTCAGTTGGTAGAGTTCAACAAGGTGAAGAGCAGCCATAAAAATTCCTAATGATAATGCTAGCTCCAAAAAATTTAACATGTCCATACAAGATTTTCTTCCTTTTTTCTCCACCGGGAGATGCAATAACATGCACCATGCAAGTGTGACACCAAGGTCTCTGTCATTGCATTTCTTAAAGAAATTACAAATGGTTTCCTCGAGGACCAGAGACTTGGTAGCGGTGCATATGAATAGAGCCACTTGGCATATACAATGATTCGGTTGCCACCTGCTCCCCAACTTGGCTGCCGGGTAAGTAGACTGTTTTGGATGCAACTGCGTAATTTATTATGTTTGCATGATTGGATGTGATCATGTTCCATCTTTAACAGAAGGCCGAGCTGCTCATTCTCCCTCCACTTCCACGCACGTTCACAAGCGCCTTCGTCTCTCCCTGCAGGCCTTTTTTGCAAGGTTTGTGCCTTCGAAATTGCTTTCCTTCTACTGCTATTTCAACAACCTGTTGGTTAAATGCATGCCCATTTGATCTTCATCGATTTGCGTTCTACTGCCAC